GTTTGCATTCCCACCAGCTGTGTATGAGGGTTCCTGTTTCTCCACATCCTCTCCAACATTTGTTGTTTTTTGTCTTGGTGATTATAGCCATTCTAACGGGTGTGAGGTGATATCTTAGTGTTGTTCCGATTTGCATTTCCCTGATGATTAGTGATGTTGAACATCTTTTCATGTGCCTATTGGCCTTCTGTATATCTTCTTTGGAGAAGTGTCTGTTCATTTCCTCTGCCCATTTTTTGACTGGGTTGTTTGCTTTTTTGATGTTAGTTGTGTGAGTTCTTTATATATTATGGAGATTAACCCCTTGTCAGATATATGTTTTGCAAATATTTTCTCCCAGCTGGTGGGTTGCATTTTAATTTTTATAGAAGGATGTGACACGCTTTTAAGTAATTCTCTCAGCTTTATACTCTGAAGATTTTCTTTTGAAAAATTCTTATATACTTTACCAGATATATTCCCTTATTTATTAATTCAATAAATGAATACTCTCTAGGGGGCCAGCCCTGTGGCCTAGTGGTTAAGTTAGGGTGCTCCGCTTTGGCAGCCCAGTTTTGGTTCCCGGGCACGGATCTACACCACTCGTCCGTGGCCATGCTGTGGCGGTGACCCACATACAAAATAGATGAAGACTGGCACAGATGTTAGGTCAGGGCAAATCTTCCTCAAGCAAAAAGAGAAAGATTGGCAACAGATGTTAGCTCAGGGTGAATTGTCCTCAGCAAAAAAAAAAAGAAATACACATGGTAGTCTTAAAGGATGGGTAGAATTTAGATAGAGAAGTTTGGGAGAATGTCCACCTCAAGAAAATAAAATAGACTAAGCAAATATCTAAGCAAGGAAGTAAAACAGACATCTACAAAAAAACACATGGCTAACATTATATATTATACTTAGTGGTGAAAGACTGAATGTTTTCCTCCTAAAATCAAGAACAAGACAAGGATGTCTACTTTCATCTGTTCTATTCAACACCATACAGAAGGTTCTAGCCAAGGCAACTGGGCAAGAAAAATAAATAAAAGGCATACAGATTGGAAAGGAAGAAATGAAACTGTCTCTAATCAAAGATGACATGATCTTTTTATATAGAAAGGCCTAGGTAATCCACGAAGAAACTATTAGAACTAAAAAGCAAGTTCAACAAGATTGAAGGATACAAAGTGAATATATAAAAATCAACTGTATTTCAAAATACTAGCAATGAATAACCTGAAAATGAAATTAAGAAAATAATTCCATTTATAATAGCATCAAAAAGAATAAAATATTTATAAATAAATTTAACAAAAAAAGTGTAAGAACTGTACACTGAAAATGATAAAACATTGTTTAGAGGAATTAAAGACCTAAATAAATGAAAAGATGTCCCATATTCATGGATCAAAAGACTTAACTTTCTCTTTTTTTTTTTTTTTCGGGGGAAGATCAGCCCTGAGCTAACATCCATGCTAATCCTCCTCTTTTTGCTGAGGAAGACTGGCTCTGAGCTAACATCTATTGCCAATCCTCCTCCTTTTTCTTCCCCCAAAGCCCCAGTAGATAGTTGTATGCCACAGTTGCACGTCCTTCTAGTTGCTGTATGTGGGACGCGGCCTCAGCATGGCTGGAGAAGCGGTGTGTTGGTGCGCGCCCGGGATCTGAACCCGGGCCGCCAGTAGCGGAGCGTGCGCACCCAACCACTAAGCCACAGGGCCGGCCCAAAAGACTTAACTTTCTTAAGACAGCAATATTGCCCAAACTGATCTACAGGTTCAATGCAATCCCTATGAAAATCCCAACTGCTTTTTTTTTGCAGCAGAAATTGGCAAGCTGATCTTAAAATCTATATGGAAATGCAAGACCCAGAATAGCCAAAACAATCTTGAAGAAAAAGTTGGAGGATTCACATTTCACCATTTCAAAACTTACTGCAAAGCTACAGTAACTAAAACAGTGTGGCACTAGCCTCAGAATGGAAGAGCATAAGCTATGGGAAAGCAGTGGAAGGCGCAGGTAGAAAGGTAAGCTGTGTAAGGAGGTGAGACAATCTGTGGGCACTGGGACATCTCTTACGGGTTCTGTGCGGGGCCATGCTGTACTCAGAGTGGAGGTTTCGAAGAATAATTACAGCAGCAATGTATAGCGGGAGCTAGAAAGTGGAGATACTGAAGGGTTGAGGAAAACCACTTAGGGGGCTACTATGCTAGTCTGGGTGAAAGGCAATGGGGGCCCTAAACTGAAGCAGTGGCAATGGAAATGGGGAAGAAAAGCCAGAGATCTCTTGTGTGATTCATCCGTTTAATAATCCTGTACAAATAGAGCACAGTCCTGTCGCACTTGCCTCTTGAGAGTGACTGCCTCCTTAAATTTTGCACCCTAGGCACCTCACTCGCCTTACTCTAATACCAGCCCTGAGATGGAGGCGGGATTATCCCCATTTTCTGAAAGAAAATCAAGCGCAAGAAAATTGAGTCACCTGATCAAAAAGAATTATTGGGCACCTACTAAGTGCTGAAGATTGGGTACCAAAGAAGACATCATCTTTGGCCACAGGAGTATATGGTTTACTGGAGGGAGACAGGTAATCACAATTCAATGCTACGATGGGGTAGTGAAGGGCACTGGATCTGGAGCCAGACTGTTTGGGTTGGAACCATAGTTCCACCATTTCCATGTGACCTCAGCCAAGGGGATAATAATGGCACCTACTTCATAGTGCTGTAAAAGAGTAAATGAATTATTATATATAAAACATTTAGAACAATGCTTAGCACATAGTTAGTGGTATGTGAGCATTTAGGAAACTAGAAATGTCACCCAAAATACAGCTCTTTGACATAAAACTTATTTTGAGCTAAAGGCAGTTAATAAACCCAAGAAAAGTTCTCTCTACCCTCCCTCTTTTCTGCCCAAAGGCAGGATATAAATTTTCCTTTACTGGAGATAACTCTAGACTCTTATCATCCCAGAGATGGCACCACAAGAATCTGTAAACAAACCTTACTCCATTCATTTCCTCCCATACATTTACCTTCCCATAGTCTGCTGTCTTTGGAAGCCTAAAACTATTTTCCTTTGTCCTGTCATTTCTCCACAAATTTATTTTTCTTTGATAAAGACGCTATATAAGCCAGAGTTCTATGCCACTTCTTTGAGTTACTCATCTCTGCGTGCTCCCCTTGTATGTGAACTGCACATGTTAATAAACTTCTGTTTGTTTTTCTCTTATTGTCTTTTGTTATAGAGACCCCAGCTGAGAACTTAGAAGGAAAGAGGATAGATTTTTTTCCTCCCTTACACTATCATGGTGATGATGATGATGATGCAGTATAGGTTGAATGGAAGCATAGAGAAAGTGCATTTTATATCTGCTCTGAAGGAAGAAAATAGAGTGGGAAGGCTTCCTGGAAAAGGTCTACTCTCAACTGAATACTCAAAATTACCTAACCCACTGAGGTCAATATCTCCTTATGTAAAATAATAATATCTATCTTACATGGTCATTGTGAGAACTGAGAGACTGAATATACAAATGGATGATGCCAGACCAGATATTAAAATAGAACTCTGACCCACGACCCGCAGCAACCTGCCCAGGAAACCAACTCGTTATTTAGAATAATCAGCCCAAGAAGCCAGCCTGGTTTAAGTCAGACTTGTGAGAAGTCAGACAGCTATCTTTAGTGACAGTCCAGGAAGCCAAACAATAACCTCGGTAACAACTGGCCCCAAATGGCCAGGACTTGATTAATAACTAACAGCTTCCTTAATTTTTGTCTCTGCTTCCAACTTAAGACCAACTAGAGAAAGCCAATTATGCCCTCCTACTCAATCACTTAGGATGTCTGCTTCTAGTTAGCCTGCCTCCAGCTTCCCCATGCCAACAGCCTCCAGTCCAGGCACATCTGAAGCCTTCTCTATTTCCCACTATAAAGCTCTCCCACTCCTCCACCTGTCTTTGAGTCTCAGCCAAAACACAGTGACATGACTGACTCCCTTGCTATATCAAGGTCTGAATAAATAGCTTTTGCTTGTTCTCATTTGGTTGGTCTTCCTTTGCTTCCACAGAATTTAATTTGATAATGTAAATAAAATGTCTAATACAAGCCATAACTATTAGGTCTAGGACCTTCTAAATCATTAAAGGAAATATTTAAAGGAAACAAAGCCCTGAGGCTATTTTCAACCAAAATGTGCATTTTTGATCTGTGTCAAAAGGTCTACCTGAGAATCTGGTTTCTAAAGAAGCTGTCAACAGTTTCAAAAGTGGCAGGTCAGACCTAAAAACCAGCCCCCAACCCAAACTGCTGTGGGCTTCACTGTATTAGGAGAAACAATACACGTGGTTTCCTACTTACTGTTCTATGTTCTGAAAGTTGACCAGATTGAGAATTCACAGAGGCTGCAATAAGAAAACAGACATTTTAAAGTATATGATTAAGGTCAATTCTTGTTCATAAAGGGTTTTTAAAATCCAGCTTCTGATTTATCCAGCCCACACCTTGTCCCTTTTTATCGGATGCCTCGCTTCTTTGAACCACTTCCATTGTACCCAACCCCCCCAAAAAAGGATATTCAGTTGTTTTCTGGCACCTCTCCTAGCAGGCACACAGAAAGAACATTTGGTACCGGTTCTGTAATTGACCACCCTCGGGTTTGCCTGAGAAAGGACTTTGGAGCCATGGAATAAAAGTCAGAGAATTAACCCAATAATTCATGATATTCTCTTCCTCTGCGGCTTAGGGTAATAAACGCAAAAGTTAACATTAGGCGTTACCATTTTAACGCCATTTTAAGATGGGCGTCAAGTCTGGCTGGACTAAAGCCCCTTTCTCATAAGCCCCAAAGTGCCCAACGCACTTGGCATTCCCAATTCCCAGTTCCTGTGCATCTCCAGTCGAGGTTCAGTAGGACCACTGGGTACATAAAAACCCAACTCCTGATCTTGGGCTCCAGAAACTTTGCTTTAAAGGAGAATAGACAGCAGGATGTCATTAAGAAGTTGCTGGAGCGAAGCCCAAGCAAGAACTAAAGAAAGTCGCTGGCTCCACAACATCCTCCTTCACCACGCACAACCCCAAGTTCGCGATCCTCGAAGAGCTACCGCAGGGGGGCCTAGAACCGCCAGTAACGGGTGCGCGGAGGGATGCCGAGGCCGCCAGGATCCCGGGGCGGGCAGCCGGCGGCGAAACCCCCTCTCCGTTACTCTCCGCCGGTTCTCGGCCGACCAGGCCCACTGGTGAGCGTTACCTGCCAAGTCCCCGACCAGGAGCAACAGCACAATGCGCAGCGCCACGCGCGCCATCCTCCCTCCGCGGCGGCCGTCGGGGGGCTGCGCGCTCCAGTGCCCGCGTGACACGCAGGGCGCGCTTGGGTCAGACACGCAACAGGGTGGGGATGAGGGAGGGGGCTCGAGGGAGGAGGGAGAATGGGGGAAGGTAGGAAGAGTGGGGGGAGGGGCAGAAAAGGTCGAGTGGAGGGGGCACCAGGGAGGGAAGGGGGGAGGGGAAGGTAGAGGAGGGCAGTTGCTAGCTCCCTACCTCCCCACCCCGCTGAGGATGAGAGTAAGCGACTAAAGGGAAGGTCTCTCCCTGCAGCAACAAGAACCTTGTAAGAGCCGTGGGGAATAACCTTGTGGGCTCTGTCAGTCAACCCCTATTTCTACAGCATCTCCTAGGCAGGGTTTAAGGGCTGAACTCAATACAGGAGGTCCTTGCTCTCAAGATTTCTAGTGTAGGTGTTGGGGATGGAGTAACACAGGGAACTCCAAAACAAGTGAATAAATACAATAATTTCTAAAATTAAGTGCTAGAGAGTTGGGGGCTGGGAGAAGAAGGGGAAGACTTTCCATGGAGAGGTCAGGAAGGGCCTTTCAGAGGTGGCATTTGAGCTGAAAGCTGAAGGATGAGAAGAAGGAAGCCTGGTGAAGACCTTGGGGATGAGTATTCCATGCTCACGGAAAAGCAAGTGCAGAGATCTGGAGGCAGGAGTCAGCTCAGTGTGTTCAGCTGGAGCCCTGGGTGAAGGAGAGGGAAAGGGGAGGGAGATGGCACTGCAAGGCCAAGATCATGTATGGCAGTGAAGGCCATGATAAGGGGTTTGGATTTGTTCTGGTTGCAGTGGGAAGCCAGCAGAGGATTTTAAGCAAGGGAATACCCCTGATCTGACTTTTATTTTAATAGATTGGATGAAGAATGGACAAGAGATAGATAAGAGTGGAGGCAGGGAGAAAAATTTAAGTGGCTTTTGCAGTAATCCAGGCAAGAGATGATGGTGGCTTGAATTAGTGTGTAGCACTGGACTGTGAGAAGTGGTCAGATTCAGGATTTATTTTGGAGGTGGTTCCAACTGGTGCCAAGTGAAGAGAAGAACCAAGAATGCTTTCTAGGATTTTGTCCTGAACAGATGGATGTGTGATGGTGCCATTTCTGTGATGAAGCGTATTTGGAGAGGGTGCCTGTTAGACATCTAAGTGGACATGTGGACAAGGCAGTTGGAATTACAAATTTGGAGCTGGAGATATAAATGCAGAAGTTATCAGCATATCAAAGGTATTGAAAACCGTGGACTCAGTGCCCGGGGAGAGAGTATAGCAGAGGTCCAAGATCAGAGCCCTGGGGCACTACTGTATGCAGAGGTTTGACAGATGTGGAGAAGCAGCCTGTGAAGGGGGAAGAAAACAGGCTAGAGTCTGGGATTACTGAATGCTGGAGCAGTGCAGCACCCGTGTCAGTCACTGCTAGAGGTTGACAGTTAGGAAGCCTGAGCACTGTCTTGGGCTTTGGCAAGATGTAGTCACTGACAACCCTAATAAAAACTATTTCAGGGCCGGCCCCGTGGCTTGGTGGTTAAGTGAGCGCGCTCCACTGCTGGCGACCCGGGTTCGGATCCCGGGCTCGCACCGACGCGCTGCTTCTCCGGCCATGCTGAGGCCGCGTCCCACATACAGCAACTAGAAGGATGTGCAGCTATGATACACACCTATCTACTGGGCCTTTGGGGGAAAAAAATAAATAAATAAAATCTTAAAAAAAAAAAAAAAAAAAAAACTATTTCAGAGAAGTGATGGGATCCAGAGCCCAGATGGCACGAGTTGAAGGAATGAGGTGAGAAAGTGGAGACAGAGGGTTTAGACAACTCTTGAGAGTTTTGCTATGAAAGAGAAGCCCGACATGGGCAGTAGGTGGCCCATGAGACTTCCAAGATGTCTTCTGAGGATCATGTCAAAACCCTCCAATATCTTGCCACTTCACTAGGAGTAAAAACCAAAGTTCTTGCTATGGCCTCCAAGGCCTCTGCTGCTCTCTTACTGCTCTCCCCTGACTCACTCTTCCTCATCTGCCTCTGGCCTCCTTGCTCCTACCCTAGGGCCTTTGCACTTGCTGTTCCCTCTGCCTAGAAAGCGACATAGCTCCCTATTTCCCTTCCTTCTGTTTCTGCTCAAATGCCCCCATATCGGAAATGCCTTTCCTGATTATCCTATAAAAAAAGTAGTCACCCGTCTTTCCTAGTCTCCTTACCCTGACACTCTCCATTCATGTAAGCTCCAAAAGGGGAGTGATTCTTTTTGGTTTACTGCTATATATCCAGTACCTAGAAGAGTACCTCACATACATTAGCAGCTCAACAAATGTTTCTTGAATGAATAAACAAGGGGTTCCTAGAGAGTCAGGACGTTAGCTTACCTAAAAGTATGGTCCACAGAATAAAACAAACCACAAGTATGCGTAAGAAAAATGACTAGTTAAGAAGGAGTTAAGCTTTAATTTCTGGTTTGTATGCATTCTTTTCTTACAGCATGGTATAACATGGCTGTAAAGAGTTTGCAATCAGATACTTGCTCTGCAAGTTACTTACAAGCTCTGAACCTCAGAGCTTCCACTTTTGCCTTCCTCTCATAAAATGAGTATTATAATAATAGAAGTATGTAAGCATTAAGTGAGATAATGTGCGTAAAGAACTTGGGACACAGTAGGACTCAATAAATTTGAGTCCCTTTCTATCTCCGTGACGGCATGTGTAAAGAGGGCAGTGATTCCATTCCTAGGCAACTAGGCACTTGCTCCTAACTCAGCCCATATTGGCCATTGTGTTGTCACAGAGCTGGATGTCTCCATTCTGTAGGCAGTGACATTGTCTATTTCTCTAACTTCTGTGTCCCTAGTGCCAGCACTGTGCCTGACACAAGCTCAATAAATGTTTGCTGAATAAGTGAATCCTTGAAATATTGAACTGACATCCCAACAAGCAAGTAGATCAAAAAGAAGACGACATGGGATCCAGGAAACAGGAATTCCAACCCAAGAGAGAAGCAAAGGGAATTAGTAGGCAGCACTATAGTGGTCCTAGAGTTTCAGCCAATCCAGACTGGCACAAGCAAGAGGCCCCAGGTGACAGTTTCTGGAGGATGGACAGACAGAACATGAAATGTGTCTCACAGTAGTTGAGATGAGGTTTACGCCAAAGCGGTAAAGTTTAGAGATTGATTACTAACAAGTACGTGGAAAACTAAGCAAATAAAAAAGACAATTATCGGCTTCAGGAAAAACAAAGTTGTTCAATAATGTAAATATCCATCATTGATCTAACCCAAATTATGATTAACTATTTTGGAAGAAAGGGAGAAGGGGAAGGGTGCATGTGGGTGGTAGGAGTGATAGGAGGTAAGAAGGATTTAAATCTTTCGTAGTGAAAATTAAGGGAAGAAATCTAAACCTGAAAAATCAAGAAGAGGCATTATATACACATTATTTAGGATGCAAGGATAAATACCCAAATAATTAGTTAAAAGAGTACAAATTGGTTTGTTCTGGAAATTGGGAAATGAGGCAGGAGGGTGAGAGTGGGAACAGCCCACTGCCACTCTTCTTAACAAACTTTGCACGTGATGTGGGTTGAATTGTGTCTCGGCAAAATTCCTGTTGAAGTCCTCACCCCTGGTACCTCAGAATGTGACTGTATTTTGAGAGAGGGCCTTTAAAGAGGTAATTAAGTTAAAATAGGGTTGTTAGGCTAGACTCTGATCCAATATGACTGATATCCTTATAAGAAGAGAAGATTAGGACACAGGCAAAACAGAGGGATGACCATGTGAGGACACGGGGAGAAGGTGGCCATCTGCCAGCCAAGGAGAGAGGCCTCAGGAGAAACCAAACCGCCAGCACCTTGATCTTGGACTTCCATCCTCTAGAAGTGTGAGAAAATACATTTCTGTTCTTTAAGCCACCTGGTCTGTGGTATTTTGTTATGGCAGCTCCAGCAAACTAATACTGCATGTATAAGTAATAAAAATAGTAATAAAATTATATGCATGTGTCATTTTTTATTAAAAGGTTTAATTTTAAGAAATTTAACAAATGAAAGATTATTTTAAGAGAAACGCATACATCAATGCCTTCCAACAGTAACTCAGAGAGTATTTGAGAATAATATTTATTTACTGAATTTTTTTCACCTAGAGGAGCTCCCTTTAACATATTTACTAATTCTGAATACAAATTTTGGTAGCTATTCAGCAAATCTTAATATGAAGTTTAGAGAAGAGAAATAATTTTACTGGAGGCACAGCAAGTGAGTGCATTGGCAGATCCATTTCTTTTCTGCCTCTTATGCCTGTGGCCTGTGTGTAAAATGTTGATTCTGTAACATATTCCCTGTATCAGTCAGGATCTAGTCTGGAAAACACAAGCTTCACTAGGTATTTCACCAGAGAGAATTTCATATAAGGAATTGGCTAAGCCAGTGTTGGAGAACTGGAAAAAACAGAAGGGAACAATAGGGCAACACACAGAGATAGAATGTAGCTATCACCTTTACGTCTGAGAGAACAGAGAGAAGAGGTTGGGATTATCAGAAGCCAGAAATTTGGAGGAGAGGCCCTGGAAAGCTGGGACTCAGACCTCTGAGCAGGGATGCTGCCTGGCTGGTGCTGGCGGGTCTGAGGGAACACGATGAGGCAGTTCTGAGAGTGTGTGACAAAGCCGGAGACCAGAACCAGCTGCTACTGCCGGGTGTAGGGACATTGCTGGGGCACTGCTGAAGGAAACAGTGAGCATGCAGGCGCTCCATCCTCTTGCCCTGCAGTGTCCCCCTAACACATCCTATCGGCAGAATCTTCAGGAAGCCTGCTGGCAAAGCAGAAATGAGGCCTGCAGAGTTCTAGCATCACAGTCTGGAAGAGTGGTTTTAGAGCTGACAAACAATAACCTCATGACTGGCAGAGTCACGTACCCCACCCCTTAACTTTGGCAACCGTGAGGACTGGGACAAGAAGACAACACAGTCATGCGTCACTTAATGACAGGGATACGCTCCGAGAAATGCGTTGTTAGGTGATTTCGTTGTTATGTGAACATCATAGAATGTACTTACACAAACCTAGATGGTACAGCCTACTACCCACGTAGGCTCTATGGTACTAACCTTATGGGACCCCCGTCATACATGCGGTCTGTCATTGTCCAAAACGTTATGCAGCGCATGACTGTGTGCAGTTTTAAACTCCATCTGGCACCATGCATGGTTTAAGTTCTGGCTAGTGTCCTGTTTGAGGCCAGAGGGTAAATTCGAAATGAGTGTTAATAGTTTTCTGAGTCATATAATGTAAGTTCTTTGAAGAAAGGTCATAAAATGGAGATGACTTACTTTGCTGAAGACTTTCATACAAAAAAATGTTCTCAACTTTGTTGGATTTCTATTACCAAATAACATATACACTTGCCGATAAACATCTTCACCTTTGATGCTTCAGGAACACAACTGAAATCTGAGCACAGACTCAGGGAACATGCTTAAGAGTTGTGTTAGTGGGAATTTCAGCCTCACAAAGCCATTTACCACTCCAGATAGATTTGTTATAAATTTATGTGGGTGGATGCTGCTGCCTTTATGTCATTTTGTTCCAGACAGTTGATATTAACACCGTAGAAGGGCCGGCCCCGTGGCTTAGCGGTTGGGGCTCGTGCTCCGCTGCTGGCGGCCCGGGTTTGGACCCCGGGCGGGCACTGACACACCGCTTCTCGGGCCATGCTGGGGCCTTGTCCCACATGCAGCAGCTGGAAGGATGTGCAGCTATGACATACAACTATTTACTGGGGCTTTGGGGGAAAAATAAGTAAATAAATAAAATCTTTATTAAAAAAAGACACTGTAGAAATATTTTTATACCATAGTGCTTTTCACATAGTTGTCTCAGCATTTGTCAGCCAAGAACAAGGGTTAACAAACGTTTTCTGTAAAGGGCCAAAGAGTAAATACTTTAGACTTTGCAGATCATGCAGTCTGTCACAACGCATCAACTCTGCCATTGTAAGACCATAAGTCAACAAATGGGCATGGCTGTGTTCCAGTAAAACTCTACAGAAACAGGCAGCAGGTCATATGTAGACTATGGGCCAAAGTTTACTGACCTCTGGCCAAATATGCCAAACAAAAATGGCCAATGCTACCCATCGGCATGTTTGTTAGAGGGTACACCAAGAGCAAGCTAGGAGATGTGTTCTGTGGCTAATCCTTGTGGTTTGGTTTTGGTCCTTTTCTAGATACTCACTGCTGCTTAGGTCTCCACAGCTCAAAATAAATGAAAATTTGATGAAGTGTCTAGGCAATTTAGGCAAAATAAACTTTTTTTTTCAGCCCTATTACCTGGTCAATTTATTCAAAATTGTTGTTCTTTTTGCTCAATTATCTGGCTAATTGTGCCTATAGAAGTCTGACTTTCCTTTTTTTTTTTTTGTGAGGAAGATCAGCCCTGCGCTAATATCCATGCCAATGCTCCACTTTTTGCCGAGGCAGACTGGCCTGAACTAACAACTGTGCCGATCTTCTTCCACTTTATGTGGGTTGCCGACACAGCGTGGCCTGACAAGTGGTGCTTTGTTGCGCGCCTGGGATCCGAACCCAGGCTGCCAGCAGCGGAGCGCACACACTTAACCGCTACACCACAGGGCCGGTCCCAGAAGTCTGACTTTTAACTTTAGTTTTCTGTGAATTGTTGCTGGTCTGCCTGTGATGACAGGGGCCATTAAGTCTCCTGAAATTATGGAACCTGAAGGTGCTTCGAATGTTTCTCATGCTACAACCAAATAAGAGATCATATTTACAAACCCATCAAAGGATATTATCTAATACATATTTGATAATTGATTCTAGGCTTTTAAAATGCAGCCATAAGCAAAAGAAAGGAAGCCTTGTTACACTAAAATCAAAATGAAATATAGATTTAAACATAAATTGTGAAACTTTACGAATTTAGAGAACATAGAAAATCTTCAGAGCCTAGGCAAAGAGTTCTTAGGCTTGACACTAAAAGCATGATTCATAAAAAGAAAAACTGATGAATTGGACCTCATCAAAATTAAAAGCTTTTCCTCTGCAAAAGACCTTGTAAAGATGAGGAAAGACAAATATAGACTGGGAGAAAATATTTACAAACCACATATCTAACAAAGGACTTGTATCTAGAATATATAAAGAGATCCCAAAACTCCAGTGTAAAAAAACCAAACAATCTAATTAGAAAAGGGACAAAAGATATGAGCAGACATTACAGTAGAGAGGATGTACAGATAGCAAATAAACACGTGAAAAGATGTTCAACATCATTAGCCATTAGGGAAATGCGAATTAAAATCACGTCGAGGGGCCAGTCCCGTGGCTTAGCGGTTGGGTGTGTGCGCTCTGCTGCTGGCGGCCCGGGTTCGGATCTGCTTCTCCGGCCATGCTGAGGCCGCGTCCCACATACAGCAACTAGAAGGATGTGCAACTATGACATACAACTATCTACTGGGGCTTCGGGGGGAAAAAATAAATTAAATAAATAAATAAATAAATAAAATCACGATGAGATATCATTACATATTTTTCAGGATGGCTCAAATAAAAAATATTAGTAAAATCAAATGTTGCCAAGAACGTGGAGAAACTGGATGACTCGGTGGGAATGTAAAATGGTACAGCTACTCTGGAATACAGTTTGTCAGTTTCTTAAAAAGCTACGGTATACAAATACCATACTCCCAGCAATTGCACTCTTGGGCAATTGTCCCACAAAAATGAAAGCTTATGTTCACACAAAAGCCCGTACATGAATGTTCATAGCAGCTTTACTCGTAATAGCAAAAAACTGGAAACGACCTAAATATCCTTCATCAGGTGAATAAACAAACTGTGGTACATGCATACCATGGAATACTACTCAACAATAAAAAGGAATCTACAGTTCATACATGCAACAACTTGGATAGATCCTATTATGCTGAGTTTAAAAAATCCAATTTCTAGGGGCCAGTCCGGTGGCGTAGCAGTGAGGTTTGCACGGTCTGCTTCAGCGACCCTGGGTTTGCGGGTTTGGATCCTGGGCACAGACCTACACACCGCTTATCAAGCCATGCTGTGGCGGCATCCCGTATAAAGCAGAGGAAGATAGGCACAGATGTTAGCCCAGGGCCAATCTTCCTCCTCTTTTTTGGGGAGGAAGATGGGCAACAGATGTTAGCTCAGGGCTAATCTTCCTCAAAAAAAAAAAATCCAATCTCAGAAAGTTAATACTATATAATTTCATTTATTTATTTATTTACTTTAATTTCATTTATATAATGTTCTTGAAATGATGAAATTTATAGAGATGATGAATAGGTCATTGTTGCCAGGAGCCGGGTGTGGAAGTGGGAAGAGAAGTGGCTGTGGCTATTCAAAAGTAGCATGAGCAATCCTTGTGATGGAATTGTTCTGTCTTTTGACTGAGTTTGTGGTCACAGACACCTACAGATGTGATACAATTGCAAAGAATTAAATACACACACACACACAAATGAGCACAGGTAAAACTGATGAAATCTGAATAAAGTTGGTGGATTGTATGATTGTCAATTTCCTGTTTTGTTTTTGTTTTGTTTTGTTTTTGTGAGGAAGATCGGCCCTGAGCTAACATCTCCTCCTCTTTTTGCTGAGGAAGACTGGCCCATGCCCGTCTTCCTCCACTTTATATGGGACACCGCCACAGCATGGCTTGACAAGCAGTGCGTTGGTGCGCGCCCAGGATCCGAACTGGTGGAACCCAGGGCTGCTGCAGCGGAGTGCGCGCACTTAACCACTTGTGTCACTGGGCCGGCCCCTCAATTTCCTGTTTTTGATATTGTATCAGAGTTATGCAAGATGTTACCTTTGGGGGAATCTGGCTAAAGTGTATATGGGGTCTCTCTGTATTATTTTTTATAATTGCATGCAATCTACAATTATCTCAAGTTATAAATCTTAAAAAGAAGTGAAGCTCTGAAAATTATCTGTGGAATCTGAATGAGTAGAGAAAGATAATCTAAATATTCTGAGCATACACATTCTCTTTCCCTTCATTAACATCATCATTACTGTAGTTAAATTAACTTGAATAATTAATGTTGATCTAGCAAATTGTGGTGGCCTTAAGTCTAAGTGTTGAGGACACGTAATTTTATTATTTTCCATTAGGAAGGGCAATTTGTTAAGCATAAAGTAATATGATTTAATGTTTAATGTAACTTAATATCTAGACTTTTGTAAGACTTTCAACTAAACATATTCACAAATTCATACCAAAAAAATTAAAACAATCTTTTATCGGAGTGTGTATTGTGATTATTTTACAAAATACTATCACTACAAACAAAATGACGAAGTGACTTAGAATTAAATAATGCTAAAATATCCTAACTTTCTTGACCTGCTTTATGCAGAGTGTTGTGAAATTACAATGTGTTCTGGGTGTTTTTTAGTTATATATCCTTCTGATAGCTGGAAAATAGAGAAATATTGTGGTCAAAATTGAGAATTTATCAAAAACATTTTTGCTAACTTATTATATACATGGTCCTCAGAAATTTTTGTGTGTGTGTGTGAGGAAGATTAGCCCTGAGCTACCATCTGTTGCCAATCCTTCTCTTTTTGCTGAGGAAGATTGGCCCTGGGCTAACATCCGTGCCCATCTTCCTCTACTTTATATGTGAGACGGCTGCCTCAGCATGGCCTGATGAGCGGTGAGTAGGTCTGCACCCAGGATCCAAACCAGCAAACCCCGGGCCACCAAAACGAAATGTGGGAACTTAACCGCTGCACCACTGGGCTGGCCCCAGATCTTTCTTTTTTTAAAGTGGGCACTCTGCAGGTTTGCATTTTGGAAGTTACAGAAAAAAAATTTTCTTTAAGGTAATTATTATTTTTTTATTTTTTATCTTTTGTATGAGGAAGATTACCCCTTAACTAACATCTGTTGCCAATCCTCCTCTTTTTTTGCTGAGGAAGATTGGCCCTGGGCTAACATCTCTGCCCGTCTTCCTCTACTTTATATGGGATGCCGCCACAGCATGGCTTGATAAGCAGTGCCTATGTCTGCACCCAGGATCCAAACCTGCGAACCCCAGGACATTGAAGCAGAGAGTGCGAACCCAACCACTATGCCACCAGACCAGCCCCAAGATAGTTATTATTATTATTTTTTTTGTGTGTGAGGAAGATCGGCCCTGAGCTAACATCTGCCAATCCTCCTCTTTTTGCTGAGGAAGACTGGCCCTGGGCTAACATCCATGCCCATCTTCCTCCACTTTATATGGGACACCGACACAGCATGGCTCGACAAGCAGCGTGTCAATGTACTCCCAGGATCCAAACTGGCGAACCCCAGGCCTCCGCAGCAGAGTGCATGCACCCAATTGCTTGCGCCACTGGGCTGGCCCCAAGATAATTATTTTTGAATGAAACCATTCCCACTATCCAGAAGGATATATGATCTTAGAAATGTCCCATTCATTCACCCGTTCTACAAATATTTTCACAATGCTATATGTGCACTGTCCTAGATTTAGCAGTGAACAAAACATACTAAAAATCCCTGCCCTCAAGGAGCTTACATTCCAGTGATACCACTATGATAAAAAGCCCAGTTAAAGCAACAACAACAAACTGTTCAAATAATGTTCACAATCAATGTATAACCTACTCCTAATTGATTATACAAGAGCTATGGATCAGAGAATGTTTTTTAAAAAAATTAATCAGTATAGTAAATAAAGCCATATAAATACCAAAAATATATATTGTCACCCCTAGGCCCATCTTGGACCAGCATATTTTCAAATCTCATCTAAATGGAAGTTATAGAAGCACCAAAGGCACTGTGGAAAACTTTAACTGGGTTCTCTGAATCAAAGCAAAACTTTTGTGGAGTTTTGGAAAATATAGTTCCTTTTCATAAAAATTATGTTATGTTAACTAATAATGAGTTTCTTCTTATTATTACTTTTCTCTTTATTTTTTGTGATGAAGATTGACCCTGAGCTAACATCCATTACCAATCCTCCTCTTTTTGCTGAGGAAGGTTAGCCCTTAGCTAACATCTGTGCCCATCTTCCTCTATTTTGTATGTGGGAGGCCACCACAGCATGGCTTGATGAGCGATGCATATGTCTGTGCCCAGGATCTGAACCTGGGAACCCCGGGCTGCCACAGCGGAGCACGTGAACTTAACCACTATGCCACCAGGCCAGCCCCCCAAGCTTCTTATTTTTTTAATGAGTTAATAAATATTTTCTAAATTTCTGTTTTAATTTCTATTATTATTAAATATTGACAGACATAGAAAAAATTGGAGGGGATCTTCAATAATTTTTGAGTATAAAAATTTGGTCTTACACTCCAAGACCAAAATATTTGAGATCAACTGCCATATGAAACAGGGTTATCCTCATTTTATGGTTAGTGCAGTGTGGCTCAAAGAAGGTCAGGAAGATATATTTTAAAAGATAGGCCGAATTCAATCTTGTTTTCCTTTCCATTCAGCTCTGTGATGTAGATATTCACTTCATCCTCTGAAACTAACATAATTTTAACTCTACCG